TGAAGCGCTGAAGATGCATCTTATTGAAAAGGATGATGAGGTTATATTAACAGAATAAAACAACATCGGCAAAGATATTACACTTTGTCTTCAAAGGCACGCTCCGGGATTAGGCGCGCTCGCCTGTTCCATCCTGGGGTAGTAGACAGGCGGACAAGCGTTGATGTCGCGCCCCTTTTGGCGCGACAAAGGCGCAAGGAGCTCGTCCGACCCGCAACTCACACCTTCGTCCGCAAGCCCCCACCCTCCGCTGTCGGTTGCCACGTGGCGCTGCTTGAAAAGCGCGGGCGCATTTGAGGCAGCGGTCCCATTGCGACCCAATGTCATTGGCACTGGAGCAACTAGAGTTAGGTTCGTGAAACTCGTCCAACGCGCCTCTTCTCTATCCCAAGGTGGAATGCGGCTGAAATAGGGGAGGTCTCTGTACGGGGCGTAATCGGTGGTTTCGTTTGCTTTCCTTCTCTTTTACAGACCACCTCCCACCTCTAGCTTCATGACTGAACGCTTTTCCTACACCTATTTTTATCCCGAATCTTATCTCTAAAGAGGGAGAGTTGTCGAAATATCTAGCTGTATTACGCAGAAGTAGACCCTTTATGCTCGGAGCCGATAAATATGAGGTTGTTGCAGTATTAATGCCGCATATCTCACCTTCACCCCTTTCGGTTGCATCTGAATACACTTGAAGCACTTAAATGCTCATTCAAAAATGGACATCAATAGTATAAAAGTGATTCTTTGGCTACAACATCTCGCCAGTAAAATAAAGGGTTGTGATGGTTTTTAATCGAAAGGTCCCCTCTCAAGAAAATGAGCGCGTGAACTTTCTACGATTTCACGCGAGGAAATATGGCCGCCGTGGACCAACCCTGTGTTTACGCCTTCTGAGAGGACATTTTATGCGACTGTCGTTATTGCAGCTGGCTCCATCATTTCTTGGTGGAGAACAAACTTCAAAACACGAAGAATTTGAATACAGCATTGGCCGCCAGCAACGACAAGCTAGTAGAAGTCATTCCAAACAAGGTGTAAACCTTTGGAGAGCTTCTAGTGGTACCATTAGCGGTAGCCAGCCGCTAAAGGTGCCAAGGAAAAGGCGTCCCAATGGCAGATTGGGGCTGCATGACCCCACAAGTTGCGAATGCTCAGTACTTGTTGCATCTTGGAGAGGGTTGCTGATTTTTTTTTGATTTCATTGTCACCGCAGATATACAGTGACTTCAGTTCAACTACGCGTCACAATAGTGGAGTGGTGCGCCGGTGACCTCACCAAAGCCTGACATCCATGACTTGAGCCCTGCCCTGAGCTGGGTGCAGTGCTACAGTCCCATGCATCTTGAGATGCTCAACCCGCCACAAGTACGGCAACAGTTCCAACGATAATCCTCTCCCACTTCGTCCAAGCTGTTTATGACACAAATCACCCATCAAAAAAGTGCGAGATTAGACCGGGAGCTTAGATTTCTCCGCTGTGCAGCGTCTTTCAAACTCATTCCAAGGACTGGTTTTACGAGTCGACACAATTTCACAGACCAGGATTGCCGAACTGCCCCACTTGCTCTAATTCTTGAGCAGGTCAACGATTTTCCAGGTGAGAAATAGCGAACAAATATATAAAAAAAGGCCCATCTCTTTTTCCATGTTCCGACTTGTCCGACTTGTAACTGCACAATTTTCATGTACATCCAAGAACGATAGTTATTTAGTATCAACCTATTTGACACTACCATATCCTGACTTTCTCAAGTTCTTTCCTCTCGCATTTTCCCTGCCACCCCCCCCCCCCAAGTTGTTTTAGAATCGCGGAACTGTACAGCTTGTTTCACAAGAATGCTGGGTTGTGAACAAAACTGGTGCGTAACTAAAACTAACTAACGTAACGCGTAACTGGTAGCGCACTTGCCCGGAAAGCGAGAGGTGCGGGTTCTAGTCCCGCCTGGGGCGAAAGTTTTGTTCACAACCCAGCATTCTTGTGAAACATTCGCAAGGCGAACTGCGGCCAAAAACAGCAGTTAACAACAAAAACAAGTCAAAATGTCTTGTGTTAAAGGAATCCTTCGCGGAAAATTCTTGCATTCTTTCTTGACATGAATGTGTCAGTTGTGATCACTGGAAACAGCACACAAAGTTTCACGCATGAAGATTCGGTTTCCGAAGAGAAACAAACGTACAAAAACTACACGTTATGGACATCGAAGGTAATTCGGGCGGAGCCAAAGGCGAGGCATGGAAAGAAGTTGGCCTTTGGCCGGCTACGTATCAGGCGACGCAATGAAGAATCGGGTTAAAGCGCGCGATTTCGGAGAGTAGAGACAAATCGATCGATAGAATAGGATGGAGTAGAAGTGTAAGATGTGAATGCAATAAAGCAGAAGGCCAGAAAGAGTTTCTAGTGAAGGCACTCCAAGAACCAAGTGGAAGCATCCCCGTCGCCAGCATTTGTGAAAGACGTCCGTGGGCACTTTGAACGCGTAGCAGCCCTTTCGATTTTTCGAATTTTTTACCAAAACAAAAGCAATATTTCTGTTCTTTTCATTCTTATCGTGGATAATGAGTCTCAAGCCAGTGATTTATGGCTGAAATAGAATCATGATTTTTCCGCGAAGGATTCCTTTAAGCAGAGCGCCTCAATCGAAGAGATCGTGACGGTTAAAATGCCATAGCTTATTTGACTCCCCAAATACCGCAGATGATGGAACGTCATGTTCGTGTACTTACGTTAACTGGCTGTCACTCGTTCTGCGATGCCATACAAGTACAAGTGCGCCACTTCGGTGCTTCTTGAACTTGATTTGTGGGATATTCCTCAAGCATCTGCTCCTACGACTACACGACAACTTCAACTTTGTAGTAATAACCATGTAATGGGAGTGAGGCATACATTGGCCCTAAAAGCACGTTCCACCTATCCAACTATTCTAGGATCGAAACTTGCAACGCTAGACAGGGACCCTACTATGTATCATCTGTGGGATTACCACTCCTGCGAGAAGGTGGAATGGCCCGTATTTGTAGGTGTGTGATCCCATGGGCCGTGGGTAAGTGGTAGTAGCCCGAGGCGCTTATGTCTGGAATGACGACCCACCTCTGCGGTCTCTGCCTGGAGTAAATGGTAAAAACCCGTGCACTGATGCCTTTGTCCTCCTCAACGTACATATGTACGTCATTCCCTCGCTCAGTGACTGACCCACACGCCAGCATTTTCTGATGTGGGTTCCTACAATCTGAAAATCAAAAGTGTAGAAAAGCCTCTCCCTCACCCAGCTCTTTTGCTTTTTTCACAAATTGGCCACTGGACACTTACAAGTTAATATTTACTTCCTTGATCCTCTTCTGTTATCGTGGGATTGTAATTGTGGATGCTTCAAAGAGCTACAGCGGTCCCTCAATGATTTGTGCACAGTGACATGAGCCCTTCCCCACCCCCTCCCCACATTCATGTCCGACGCCGTCATACAACACACAGGACGTGGTCAACTTTCAGTAGGCGGAGCCGACCTATCCTATGCCCGAGCTCGGGATGATGCTCCGCTTCTTCTGAGCAAGTTTGGCATGCGAACACGTTTTACCGTTTTACCTACCGCATAAGAATTTCGCTATTTTCGAATTTCAGTGAGAACTTTCTTATATTATGCGTGAGGTGGCTATATTCAGAAGTTGGAATCCGTTTGAGCGCATTCCCACCAAGTTTCACTCCTATAAAGGTTCTGGTCTTGTCAAGGATGACCATTTTTCATCTTCTCCACCACTCTGACTTTCTCTGGTCTTCACTAATTCTACACCTAATCCAAAATTGTAGAATAATTCAGCGGTTTCGGTGCACATTTTAAAGGAGCTGTGAATTTTTATCGCTTTCTTCTCATATTGTGACAGGTGACCTGTACACATGGACGTAGCTGACTGGGGAGATGTTCTTCGGAGAACCTAATTATCAATGAGAAGACGGAGGCGTGTTGTATACATGCAGCTGCTCTGCTTTTCAGGCTTTCATATGCTTTCATGTGCATTGTATGCCTCTTCTCAGACATTCATGTACTTTAACTACAAGCTCGCCTACACATTCCACCTCTGCCTCAGGGAAAGCGCAAAAATCCGCTCGTTTGCTTCTTTGGAACTCGAAAGGCGTTGCCTAATTCTCAACAGAGTCGGGGTTGTGTTCAAGGTTCTGACTGAACTTATCTTCTTTGCTTCTTTACTCCATTCTTTCGACCACTACATCGGTCGCTCAAATTGTTCCGAGCCGCTCGATCTTCGACCAGAGATGAAGTTTCCAAAGACAAATGATATGAGACGGCCTCTCCTCTATCGAATCCCTAAAAAATTCCATCTTAATCTCTCCTTGCTTTCCTTGCCGATTCTGTGATCAGCCTCATTATCAAGCTATGTAAAGCAGGGTCAACCGTCCGTTGGACAAAGTCCAACGAGGGGTGGGGGGTCGTATTTGGGGTGGAAAAAAGGGGGTCGTATTTCGCGAGGTAGCGTTAATGTTACAGTAAGGGAAGTGATGATGCAGTTGGTTGGCGCGCTAAAATTTGGTGTGTATATGCCCCTCTAGAAAATGTTGCAGTGGAAATATGGGTGAAATAGAGGGAAGTGAGAGGATGTTTGCGGTTTCGTGGTAGGTATATACCCCCCGCTCGACGGTAATTTTGGAGGAAAAAAGTGGGCGGAGTTTGGGCTGTGTCGACTGGTCTCAGAATCGAATACTATAGAATGAGCCCCATGATGGCGATGGCAGGCGAGGGTGGTGAAGGGTTGACCCTGAGGGGGGGTCGTATCGAGGCCCTCTAGAAGGGGGAGGGGGGTCGTAAAATTTTCGAAATCGGTCCAACGTGACGGTTGACCCTGTTGTGAAGTTGCTCTCAGTCGTTTTTCATCTTTTTTTTCATCTCGTCTTTTTTTTCTTTTTACTTCCATGTACATGAGGCATCGATGTTCGCCATAACCGGTGCATTTCTTCTCGTGCAGAATGTGATCTCACCTTTGATAGTTTCAGTTCTATGCACCCCCAAATCTTCTTCATTATCGTTCATCAGTCGGTGGTGATGACGTTGGCAATATTGGGCAATTTATTTCTAATTTTTGTCATATTCCGTGGAAATCATGCCGTACGACGGCGTATTTCACCTGTACAGGTAAGTATTCACTGATTGATCTGTTAGCACAATTCAAGTGATAACAGTAATAGACGATTAACAAGTTGTTGATGACTAATCTCCGGTGCAGTATTGCTTCGCAAGAGTTGACCAGATGTGATTATAGCGTAACCTTGGCGAGTAAGTGGACACCTGGATAAAGGAAGTGATATATTAGTTGAAAAAGTCGATATACATTGTTCGGAGAAGTACTCTTTACCCTGTGCGCCCACTTTCAATTGGATGAGCGGAATAGGCACTAACAAGTTTACAATGGTTAGTCTAACAATCAACTGCCAATATAGAAATGTGTCGGTCATTTCAATTGGGCCTCCGTGATTCTAAATGCAGGTTGAGGAGAACAAGTTCGACAGTATGCACCGTTTCTGTTTTTCTTCTTTTGAAATGAGAACTCCCATTGCCAGGTCGTCGTCCTAATGACAAAAATTATGAACGATTGAAACCCCGCTCAACTGCCAGTGATCGCATCATAAAGGATAAAGGATAAAGCATTCGGCGTTGATCAATCCCGTTTTGGGATGCGGCACGCATTCTACTTCCATTTTACATTCGTAGTGGCATTTGAATGCGATGTGGCCTATACAATGACTTGCGGGGGCCAGCCGATGTACAAGTCAGTGTTTTTATCCTCCCAGACAAGTCTGGTACCAATTAACCGACCCCGGAGGGATGGAAGGCTTGGTTGGATCGGTACGACGTACGAGCCAGGTTGATCACCGGATCGGGTGTTTGCTAAGCTGTGCCACTGACCACTATTGCTTCACTAGTACGCATATTTATGTGAAAAGTGAAGTTTGACGTTTTGAAACGAAGAATGGTCAGCTAAAGAGCAGATAGTGGAGTGATGGATGGGTGTCAGTCCATCTTCGCTACGACCAGTGATGGTGGCAAGTCCTAATATTGGGTTGTGCAGAAAATCCTGCGACACCTCGTTCAAAATTTTTGATTGCACCTTTTTTGTTGAATGAAATATTCAATCAGCAAGGTTATCACCATTACCATGTAGGAGACGTACACTTTTTCTGGGCAACTTCTCAACTCTCTTACTTTAGAAATCCGGCGTTTGCTTTGAAAAGAAGCGATCGATCCAATTTTCGAGTTGACCTCAGTCATCGGATTTTTTATCTTCTAGATGACGCTTCAGGGCACTAATTACCTGATAATTAGAAGCGGCTAAGCCCGGCGAGTAAGCCAAGTACTGCGAAATTTCCAATCAAAATCCATGATCTTTTTGGTAATCCTTTGTCACATGTAGATATGCGTGGGGTGGGTAACACAATGTTGAGCATTTCTGGGTGAACTTTACGCATGGCTTCGGCCAAATTTCAGAGGTAGTTAGAGGCGAAAATGGTCATCACCGCGGTAGAGGTATCCAGCAACTTTCTGTGAAGAATCAATTTGCAAGCTCTTTAAAAACTTTAGAAAAACTCCTTCCTACGAAGCAAGCAACTTTCCTCTCAGTCGAATCCAATAGAGCTTATGTGGGCAGTTTCCTCAAAGCTTGAGCTATCTTCACTATCATCATTTTTTGTCAAGAGATTCCTTTGATGCGAAGGAAGAAGAGAAATCTCTACCATGGTCACACACTTCGCCTCCCCAGACTGGCGCAACCCATGTGGTACCCATTGCGAACATGCTGCCCTGTAACCAAGAACGTAGGGATCCTCGATAACTGTCAATTAGTGCACCTCAGCGTTGTTGCTAACTCACGACTGGTAGCAATCGGCTGCGCCTCTGGGAAGTTGAGTAAACACCATTCACCACCTACAGCCGACCAGAGCAGTGCTTTACTTTGAGTCAAATATCTCCGGTTGCGAAGCCTTAGGACAACGGGACACTATGGTTCTGCTGAACGACATACCTCCTGAATACAGCACAGATGCTAGCTGCAACGATACAAACAGAGTGGCTTCATAGGAGCTCGAGAAATAAAATATGTCAAAAGATGGCTTGGTTCAGAGAGAAGTTTGGAGCTGTAAAACGTTGCTTGAAGCCTTCATGTACGCTTCTGCTGGAACCTTCGAAGACACACTACAGTAATCAAATGCCAAAACAACTGAAAAGGGTTTTGATTTTTCCCTAAAGTTATTTGTTCAAAGTGTCGCAGGATTTTCTGGACAACCCAATATTTGCTGATACGAAATCAATCTTGACTGCTTCATTCTTTTGGAAAACCAGTTGAAGCTTTGATTCAATCCCCGATTATGGAAGAGGACACAAAAAAATGCTACAATTGAATAAAAAATTGCACTAAAAAATAAGAAAGGGAAGAAAAAGGAGTAGTTTGAATTTTTCATCAAGTCCCTTCGAGACGAAGCCCGTCTAGAGAAGCTAACATTATATTTTGAAGAACCCTTTTGTCTGTCTTATAGTGGCCACCTTTCTAAACTCCCCCTTCCCGGGACGTGAGAGAGCGGCTTGCACAATGTCGTAGAAACCTTGATGCACTGAAGCTGCTCCGAGTGGAGAATTTTGACCAAATTTGGAGTGCTATATGCGGTGTCGACGCATTCCTCTGTAGTCTCGCCACCACTATCAATCATCCGTTGGGGTTCCATGCAGGGGTCATATTTGGGTTTTTGGAGGTAGCAGTATTTTGTCCCTTGTGCATTATGGATGATGGCAAGGGAGAGTGGTTTCTGAGATTTCCAGTGAGGTCATATAAGTGCAGATAGAGGGAAGGTGTGGAGCGTGATCGTTCTCCAGGAGGGAAGTACGAGGTATCGTGTTTGACCGGTTCTTCGTCGAGTTAGGTGAAAACGCTAGGAATGGAGTGGGAAACAGAAGAAATTATAATATTTTTCTTCCTCAAGACATTTTACCTCCCCTGAAGGGCAAGAAGGGTCGTATGAACGGACCACCCAGTGCTGTTGTTGATTTTGGAGTGTCGGTATTCCCCAACAGGAAGGGAGGGTGTTGCCAAATTTTCGTCACTGGAACAGCCGACGGCTGATTCCGTTCGCGACTGCATCAAGGACCAGGATCATAGAAGGCTACTGATAAACGTGTGTTCTGTGATCGATCCCAACATTTCATAGTAAGTCTGTTACTGTCTATTCAGAGTGTTAACGGGAGGGCTCTAGTGCAATAATAGTTTTCCGCGACCGAAAGATAAAGGGGATGTCCAGATTCTGGTTTTTTCCTGTGTTTCTGGTCGAGCCCAAGATTGATTGACTAGTGAATTGGTGTTAGTAACATATATGAGTATTAAGTGTCGTTTCAGCTTTTATTACTTCACACCTGCGCTGCCGATCTGCTCTTCGCCTTGGTCACGTTAGGCACCGAGATACTGACACTGGTGAGTGGAGGTTCAATAAAGCACAGATTTTTGTGTTGGTATTAAGATTTCCGACTCATGCGTTGAGGAAGTCTGCGATTGTTGACCAATCCTAATAATCACCCATAGCTGCCTCTTACACGTTTTGAGACCACATTTCAACAAAACTATTCATACGAAGTACAGCTAAAGCAAAAAGGAACCCCAATGTCAAGAATTTAAACCTAAATTTTCTTAGAGAGCGCATCAAGATAGAGAGTAAACACCACTAGGCCGATGTCAGACTTTGCGAATCGCGCGATTCGCTAGCGTCTGCGGTCGCGTCGCGGCCAGTGAATCACTCAATTGGCTGGTACCGCAACGCGACCGCGGACGCTAGCGAATCGCTCGACTTGCAAAGTCTGCCGCCGGCCTTAGGAGGACCTAATACGTCATCACTACAATTTCAAACATATTCGTTTATAGATATCCATGTTCGGGAATGTTATCTTAAGCTATGGAATTAACTAAGTTTAGTTTTACTCAGTTTTGCATAATTGCGTGCCATAGTTCATCCGATCGTTCTATGTGTCCTTTTAAGCATTTATGCTGCAAGAATCTCAGAGTACGCAGGCGATTTGGCCGGCCCATAACTGCTTAGATGATGAATTTTCGGAAGAGATAAATAATCAGTGCGTAGTTACATATTCGAGGGATCCAAATAACGAAAGCGAAATGCGGTTTAACGTTCTGTCCCGTATAGAACTGGTAGGGAAGGGAATGAGAACAATTCAGTATCGTAATGAATCTGGCGCTATATGGTAGGATTAGCCTCCAAGCAAAAATGTTCCGCTTTAGAAATTTCAGTTTTAGTATGAAAGAAATCGAAAATTGTAATGTTAAAAACCAAAGTTTAAGAACTACTCCAAATCTTTCTACTTACAAACTTCACTGCTTGAACTCATTCCAGCTTTCATATCCGCACTTCGGCGGCTCGGACTGGTTATGCAAAGCTATGCGCTATGGACAAGTGCTACCACTCTATGCCAGCCCATTCTTGTTGGTGGCCATCAGCGCAGATCGCTATCAGGTATACATCTTCTCAAGATGATCAGCAAAATGGACCAACGCGTTGGACCTTTGTGTTCCCATGCCGACGCGCAAAATTTGATGAGTAGTTATATGAGAACTGGTCAGATAATTACTGATCTGTCACAACTCTTCACGTTGTTCGATGACGCGCAGCATCGCGCCGCATAAAAATCAATAAGTGAACGCGTTCTACAAGGCGCGTTCTTCATGAGCGTTCTGTCAAGCTTTTTTAATCAAAGAACTCGAAAACAGTTCAAAAATTTTCGAGTAAGACTGCTGGACTTGCAAAAGCCATGTCTGAACGCTAAGGTCCTCCTTTTGCGTACAGAGCACGACATGAACTGTCCTCGAAAACACTGAAATGTTCCTGAAAACATAATATCCTGACCTAGGAGGTAATATATTGCACTACACTACTACACATGCGCTTTGTCGGACCCCCTTGGATGCGCTCCTATTATCAGATTTACTCAAACACCCAGGGCATGCCACACAACGCAGATGCACAACAAACGAATGGAAAAGAAAGGGCACTGAAAGGAGATGGCGGTCTGCATGTCAGGGCTATTCGATGGGACTATTAGGTTGTCTCGTAAGTAGTGTCGTTTTTTTCGAACAGAAATATCTCTAAGTTTGCATTTTGTCAAACCATTCGAAAAGGATTTGACTGCTCTATAGAATGGTGTGTTTTGCTTTTATACCCACTGCAGAGTTTTTGAATTTTGAGCTTACAAAATCGGCTAATCGAGAAAAATCAGGCAAACCAGCAACTAATATAGCTCTACTTGCCTCTGGAAGGAAACGACCAGTGATGTACCTTCTGCTCTAGTACAACTTCTTCTAAACATTCCGCTATGAGAGTCTCCAAAAAGTCGCGTATTTTCTTTCCCAAATTTTGTTTGCCGCCAGAACTCGATGGTTAAGCACTGCCGTTAAGTTTAATATTTATAACAGTCAAAGCGATTAAGTGCATTTTTTGAGAATTTCAAATAATAAATCGAATTCGAATAAATCATGATAAGTCTGAAAAGTGTGCCCGATTGATTTTATCATGTCATAGAGAAAGTTCTTTTGCTGATGTAATGTGGTCGTTCTCGTGAATTGGGCACTTTATCACGTAGGTCTAAACTAAATATAATGAAAATTGACAAAACATGTTATCGAATAGAGCAAAAGTGACCTTACAAATGATTCATCGATTGACATAAAATTGAGGTTTCAAGGGAAAAATAAGTTGTATATATATATATTGTAAGTAAAAATAATAGTAAAAATAGAAGTAATAAAAATAAAAACGTGATTATAAAATAAAAAAAATGCTGTGGCTCAGCGGCCATCCACAACAAAGAAATTTGAAAAAAACACGACGAAGTTTCTTTTAGCAACCTAATAACGGAATGTTCAGGAGAGGTCGTGACGGAGAGTATCGCTGATTGATTCGACTTGGGGGAGTATTGAGGTGGACGATTGGCTAACTTCCACCGACGAAACCTCCCATTTCGTAGGCTTAAAATTCAAAATGTTTGCAAGGAATGTTGAAGCACAGTGTTTTATAGGGCAGGCAAAGTGCTTTCAAATGGTGTTTGATAATATGTAAAAACATGGGGTTTTACTGCGGGCACCACTTGTGGGACAACCTAATACAACCGGGCCCTTCCTTGTGAACACAAGAACGTCGTTTACATCTACCTGCACGCGAAGCCCCGTTGGCTCCTGCTGCTCAGATCTGATTGCGAAGCGACAACAGCAGGGCCAGCTAACGTCTGGAATTCCCCGATAGAAGCGTTTTCGACTCTTTGGGGAGGGATCGCTCAAGATGGAAGGTGCAGCCTGCTTTCAGATTATAAAGTGGACTTAGCTGTGGCGTGGAGGCTTGAAGGATTAACTGTTTTCTGAGACGTGTTAATAAAACTCTGCGGAATTTTGAGAAAGTTCGTGAAGCTTCGAATTTTTCTCTGTTGTTGCACCATATACGATGTGTGCACGTTTCTACACTGCGTCCCATAATTATAACTCCACCCAAGAATTTCCCAAAATCTCACAAATTTAGATGTTTTAGAAAAAGTCTCAATGTGGCAGTGTGTCAAATACAAATACGAAATTGCCTATAACATCAATCTTCCAACTTGAGATCCCAGGAATTTTTTCTAATAATTTTTGTTCAAAAGGCCACTTAGCCGACGTCCCAAAATTATAACTCCACCTCATGTTTTTCTATTATTTTTCACTTCCGTTTCGCCAAACTTTTTTATTGTGCTAACATCCTACTTCTCAAGGGGACAGTATGATAGAAAATGCTGTCTGACTTTTTAAAAGGTCAGGTCGTCGCAAAAACTACTAATTAGGCAATCGCACAAGATTTTGACCAAATTCACGAGGAGCTCGAGAATTTTTTCAGGGATTTTACATGATATGGAGTTGAGAAGAGCTCCAAAGGATCTCTCCTTGCTTTTCGATAGAAACAAAGGCCGTGTCACAGAAGAAACATCCTTTTTTATGAAGCCGTGCTCTGCCATCAAATCTTCTTCGGAACTTAATGTCTCAACGGAACAATGTTTTTGCTTGCGAATAATCCCAAGTTGATTCTCGAGTGGAAAACGTGGAAGGCATCATCTGTGGTAAGAAACCATGGCGAAATTCCTGCTGTGTTCTCTGGAAAGGTGCATAGGAAAGCCTGGAAAAGCTACTAAGGATGAGAAAAGCACGAAAAGAAAAACAAACAAATGCTAAAACATATCGAGCAAAAGCGAACCTTACTCCAGTCGGCTCCGTTGCATCTTTCTGTGAAAATGGGCTCAATTTTCGCCATGGTTTCTTGCCACAGATGATGCCTTCCACGTTTTCCACTCGAGAATCAACTTGGGATTTATTCGCAAGCAAAACATTGTTCCGTTGAGACATTAAGTTCCGAAGAAGATTTGATGGCAGAGCACGGCTTCATAAAAAAGGATGTTTCTTCTGTGACACGGCCTTTGTTTCTACCGAAAAGCAAGGGAGATCCTTTGGAGCTCTTCTCAACTCCATATCATGTAAAATCCCTGAAAAAATTCTCGAGCTCCTCGTGAATTTGGTCAAAATCTTGTGCGATTGCCTAATTAGTAGTTTTTGCGACGACCTGACCTTTTAAAAAGTCAGACAGCATTTTCTATCATACTGTCCCCTTGAGAAGTAGGATGTTAGCACATTAAAAAAGTTTGGCGAAACGGAAGTGAAAAATAATAGAAAAACATGAGGTGGAGTTATAATTTTGGGACGTCGGCCAAGTGGCCTTTTGAACAAAAATTATTAGAAAAAATTCCTGGGATCTCAAGTTGGAAGTTGATGTTTATAGGCAATTTCGTATTTGTATTTGACACACTGCCACATTAGAGACTTTTTCTAAAACATCTAAATTTGTGAGATTTTGGGAAATTCTTGGGTGGAGTTATAATTATGGGACGCAGTGTATTTTCCCAATGAATTTTGGGAACATTTATGTATGATTTGAGGAGGGGTAGAAGAGTATATCGAGACCAAAACGACTGTGGGAACTCAAATGAGAGTAGGGGTGGGCCGTATTAGCGAAATTTTTGACCAGATTTCATCGTCGCGTGGCACTCCTTGAACAACGTCCCTGAGGTCTTATGACAATTTGCCCGTCAGGCAACGACTTTTAAAAAAATAAAGATATCAATGTTATCCTTCTCTGGTAATTACCACTCCTGCGAAAGACCATTCATCTAGAGAAATTTGCATGACTCACGTGGGCTTTGACCAAGGAGTGAACCCGCTGATTATTCTCTGCATCACACCATCTCAGCCCGAATAATATTACAAACCCAAATATTAAAAACGTTCCGTCTTACATTTTTGAGAGTTATACACCCTGACCAGTGGGGTGCCGCTAGGTCCTGTTTTGATTGGCCCTCGGATGACTCCCTTCATCGTGTGACGAGTTGTTTTCGGACTTAGGATTACGTGTAATTTTTATTGGAGCACAAGACAGCTTTTGAGCGAGCGTGTCTCTCCAGAAGCTCTTGAATTTGTCCCAATTGTAGTACGATTTGGCTAGGGGCAGGAAGTGGTTGACTTAGTCCGAAAGATTTCAAGCACATCTACTATTGGTGAAACCTGTAAGACCCGCCTGTGTACATTTAGCAGGGCCTCTTCCCCATAACTTCGTTCAGCAAAATTTTGGGTTTACTTTCAGGCCATTTGTCGACCACTGGCGAATATTCGCTCGTCGAGATTTCGGCGACCGAATTGTTTCGCCGCGGTCGCCTGGATACTAGCTCTGCTCTTCTCCATACCGCAGCTGTTCATCTGGAGGAAAAAGTATCGACATTTCGCTCCATTTTCCCATTCGTTGGTAAACCTGGTGACATCGCTATTTTTAGGCAAAATGGCGAATGTGCGACTTTTTACGGCAACAAATCACACTTTCTGAAGAATCTCTATGTAATTGGTTTCAACACAATTGGTGGGTTTATGCGATTTATGTTTAAAAAAAATTTATGATTTGTGTTTATGGGATCATTGCGTAAAAAAGCATGGTAATACATATTATACAACACTGACTCTTAACCTTAATGATTCAAGAAATCATTTACGCCCAAAATTTTCCAGTGGGGGTAGCTGTCGGTCTTATTCATGCATTTCATCTCCATTATCGGCGTTGCACTATTTGGCCGTTTTACGCCGCAGCATTTCCCTGCAAATTTATTAGAAACCCATTTGTAAGGTACTTCTAATTGCTCTAATTTAACAATGTGTGAAGGTGCTTCACACATTGTCAAATTAGAGCAATTAGCCACCCCTATAGAGGACATTTCAGTGATAATACATTAATCTCCGCCTTTTGCTAGTCACCGAATATTTCCAAAGTCTTTGATTTCAGTTTTCCAAAGTCCAATGCAGAATACAGCACACACGTATACCAAGCTAAGCTACATAAGAATTCAAAATGGCAATCTAAAAATGAAGTCTTTCCTTACGATTGCACTATAGAGAATTTATTGTGCGCCACGAGCTGGCAATGATTGCCGTAGCCTGTGTAGCTAACTAGTGCACCTTGTTTTGAACCGTATCGATAAAATGGCCCTTTGTCCGGGCTATGGATTTTTGCTCTTGAGACGGCTATTCTGAAGATACTCGCGGTGAGAGAGTTGATTCAGCCCTTCACTTTT